AGTTTAGACAATTGGCAAATTCAGGGATTGCATAACTGGCAAATTGAGCAAACAAAACAGACAGCATAGTGGGATGAATGATCAGATACATGCACCTGCCGAAATTTCCACACTTGAATTCATCATGAACGATTTTTTGTGGAAAAAATCAGCTCAGAATTCAAGTTTGAGCCATGTGTACAAGATACACCCTGTACTTTTGAACCGGCACCCTTCACTGCCGTGTCTACTTACTGTTTTGCTGGAACAAGCAGTAAAAACCAGATAATTACAAATCAGCCATATCGTTACTCTATATATTTCCAAAAATACTGTATAGTTAGAAAAGGGAGCCGGTAGAGGAAATCAGGAAAATGAAGTTCGACGTAGAGAAGGAGCGAGTCAAATGCCCTTTTTTGATGAAACACAGTATGCATGCTTGCATTCACCTGTTCCATCATTTTTACCCAACCAGTTTTCGGGAAATCACTGACTTCATAGTTTATCGAATATCTGGAATCAAGGAAGATATCGGTAAGACAGATGAGATCCAGAACAGCACGAGAACAGAAAGCCATGTTCATAAAGTGCAGATTGAAAACCAGAAAAATAAGATTTTGTCGACATGTACGAGGCTATTTTTAGACTTTACTTGCAGCTTTCGCGACTCTGTGCTTCGAACAGAATGCTCAAACCTACGTGAAGGCCACAGTTTCAAAACTGGAGAATAGCAGACTCGGAATTTTGAGATGGTATTTCACCACATAAAAACAAAGTGAAAAATTTAACATGAACTGCCTAAATTCAATTCATATTCCACGCTGTAAACACTGAATCATACCTTAGACGCACTGCGTCCACACTCGCAAAAGCGCTCACTGAAAGCGTGTCGCCGTTTTCCAGCACTATTTATAGTTGAGTAAAAACTGTTTTTAACAGCAGTAAATCTTAAATTCCAGTAAAGCAGCGGTATCTGCTCCCTGCATCCCTCGTCTTCTCCGTGCCAGAGTGGTAGACAGCTTTGAGAACAGTGCGCTCGGAATAAAAATCCTCTGTAATAACCTTTTAGCTGCTCGATGGTGTCGTGATCTTTTGCGGAATAAACAGCCTTTTCAGTCTGTGGATCGTCGCTGTCGATGCCCTTCATTTCGAGTAAACTGCGCAGTTTCAGCACTTCCGCCTTCAGTTCACGTATTAGCTTGGCGTTCGGATCCTCATTGACCTTCGCCTGGCATACGATTTGTTTGGCGCGGTCTGCGTACCTATGAATTTTATAGTGTCAGTTCAGTGTATTAAAGTGTTTATATATGTATATTTATATATATTTTTATTTGTATATGAAGGCCGCTCGCTTCGCTGACCATCGGTGAATGTCGTACATCAATGAGTAGTGATGGCGAGAAAGTAAATAATCACTCGGACTGCCTCTTAAGGGATGGCACACGAACAAGCTGTGGGGACAACACTTTTTATTACATATGCATTTATATAAAGTAAACGGTAGCTGCGTGCGGCGTATCGATGCATTTTGATAACATCATTAGCAAGGGATACTTACAGTGACAGTCCGAAAGATTTTGGTATATACATATATATATATATATGTGTATATATGTGTATATATATATGTATACATATATATATATACATAAGAGTCTTCCGTGTGAATATCCCATGTTAGTTATGTTACTGAGGCGCCCGAAGCGTTCGAGACACAACAATTTCTTAGCCCCCCAATCCTGAGCAACCTACCTGCAGTTGATAAATTTTCCTGCTATAAAACCGCTAAGCAAATAAGTCAACAAAGATGCAAAAGGAAAAAATTTTCAGCCGCACTGATAGGAGGGACAACTTAGCAGTGGAACAGTCGCTAATCTCAGTAACGAATTTCAGTAAAAAAGCATATCAGAGTGTTAAGCATGTGATGCCTTGTTGGCTGCTCCACTCCTGTAGTGCGACGAAATGATCAGCTTTGATATTTAAACAGATGTTGGTCGTTTATGTTCTCATATTGGCTGAATGGGCTGGCGATAACTAGTAAAAGTGCTGGAGTGATGAAAAAGGACGGAAGAAGTACCTGAGGGTACTCAGCGTCTCATCAAAGTTGATGTCAGCAGGTGAAAGGGCAGCAATCATTGCTGTCTTTGAATTGCCGCCAAGATTTTCACGCAGAAGCCACGTAAGCACTGAATCACGGTAAGGTATCACCGATTTTCCTTTGTTTTTCTTCCTGCTTATCTGCGTCTGCAATGTCGCTGATGCTGAAGTTGCCAGTCAGGAATGAAGCATTCTTTCTTTTCCTCCCTTCTTTGTGAGCATTATAATAAATGTTGTACTAACTAAATAAAAAACTACTCGTTCCGGGTTACCGGCGCAACCACGCTCTTTGCACATTTTTGCACAGGAAGTTGTTTAGCAGGAAAAGCGTTCATTGCTTGATATATGCACTCATGTTGTTCTTTTTTCCCATGACTGGGAAAGAAAATCGTGGGTGAGTCGGTAAATTTTCAAAATGAAGGTTTCGTAAAATTTCAGTTCACCTACGCGTCTGATTTTTGAAAAAAAGAACATCGACTGCTTTGCACATGGGACATTTGACCAAGATAGAGGAGTAAGCGAAAGCTTTTTTTTACGTTTTCACGTCCGCATATGGACGACAGTTATCCTCATAAAAATAAAATCTCCTTCTCAGTTTGATTCCTGAATTAAAAAGGTGCCAAAATCTTTACAACATCTGCGCCCACACTAAACGCAGCGCCCCTCAAACTACAATTTAAAATCTTCGGGATGCGCATGGACAAAGACGTTCCCGCAAAATTCCAGTTTCTTATCTTATATGGTTTCGGAAATCTTTTTTAACGTCAAAACTTACTTATTTTTAATCTCAGGCGTATATAGGCGAATACAGGTCAATTTTTGGATTATTTCGACTGCAAATGGATACTGCTTACTGCTCCGGTTGCTTAGCTAAAAGTGGGTGACAAAACCCGATCAGACCCATACAAAAAACACGCTCATATATATACACATAAACTTGTGCGCAAATTATGCAAAACGCATGAAAGCAGTTTTTTTTCCCTTCAGCGCTACTGAATTACGCAAACTGCAATAAATAGCTCAGCGGATTGTTGCGGGTCGAATATGAACAGAATATGCTGTAGTGTTTTTGCTTTTCGACACGCATCTTAGCAACTGTCTGCCAAATTGTCGGCGCTCTTTTCGAAGCTATTTGATAAAATACATTTTCATTTTCTTTGGGTGGCTAGGGTGTCGATGCTACTCGCAACAGGTCGTCACGTCCTGCAGAAAAACACTATATGTGCATATAACAGTTGCAAATTTTATATCAAAAACAAACTTCTTCAGCCAGTTTCGAGATGACAAGCCCAAGTGTTGTTAAGCTTTTATTGATATTTGCGCCCTCCTTTAGTCGCTGGCCTTCGGCCCCAGTTGATGTAGCTCGTTCGCTGCCCGCTAAGTCGACCAGTGAAATCTTGCTAACCTGTAATTTTGATGTGTAAAACAGGAGCAGCCAACAACGTTCTTTGCTAAACTTTTTTAGGACGGTTTCACAAAAATTAAGAGTTTGCAGGGACGTGCACCAAGATGAGTTTGTTATGTGTGTCTGTCGTTTGCTGTTGCAGAGGTATTGCTGAATGGACCAAATCTGATAATTATGCTTCGGTACAATGATTTTTTGACCTATTTGCAGCAGAAGTGAAAACATTTTGAAAATCACAGCTTAATTAGTACTTAGATGCAATGCGCAGGCATACCTCTGATAACTTATTCCAGGTTATTCACTTTAAACAAAGTGTACTACAGCACAAAAGCTTTTTGAGGTTGAAACAGCCTAAAAAAATCAGCATTCATGCATCGGACGGTAACGTGTTCCAAAAGCTTTAGCTTCTTAGTTTCTCTGATTGCTAAGAGTCGAGACAAAGTTCACACGCACACACACACAAACGTACACACACATACTTATATACGCACGCATCACTCACTAATATGCCTTTTTGCTCACTGTTGCAGCATTATTGTGCTGCACAGAAAAAAGGACAAAAAGTAAACTGAAAGAGAAAAAAATGAAAGAGAAAAGAAGAGGGAAAGAGGAAGGAAGAAAAGGAACAACAAAACAGTGCATTGTAAATATTTAAGCTGATTTCGCGCTTATTTTCCGCCGTACAATCAAGAGTTTTATTACCAAAATTTTAACTTTCCAGTTTTCTGATTTTGAAGTTCAATTAGTTGCATAAGCAACTGGATATGCACAACAGCATGAACTCACAATGTTGCGATTTGTCCTTTTTACATAAATCATAATGCACAAACGCATAATGAATAAGTATAGACCTTTTCGCAGTCCAGATCTGCTTCTGGATCATGCTTGTGCTGCGATAATACAATTGTGAAGACGGCATGAGAACGGCTCGACGTGGAATTCATATTTGTTGCAGCTACCGTTCTGAATTGCTAAGTTTAGGAGTAACAAATTATGACCAATAGTCAGGTTTGTCATCAACAAGTACAAGTAACAATCGGCTGTGCGCTAGCTTTCTATGTGAAGGAACAAAACGGCCAAAAGACAGAAAAGTCATTAATCTTCAAAAACCTTTTTTCCTAATGTGCTTGTTTATTTTTTTGCGAATCGAATCCTGTCTGTTCCTTATATTTCATCACAACAGGTCTGAACAAACACCGAACTGCCACCAGGGTGAAAGACAGGGATTTTAGCCTAATGTCCAAATACCTTTCATCAGATTCCTGTGAATTTTTGAACAGCCATCGGCCGGGCAGTTACAACCGCTGCGAGCTTGGTTCTAAATTTTCATTTTTTATGCGTTTTTGCTGTACAACGCTGTAGTGCTGCTACAGCCAGCAAAAACACATATTGTCGAGAGGTTGTCTGTGTGTGTATGTTTGGAAGAGAGTGCATTTTGTCACCCGCTTTCATTTCATCAACCAGGAAATCTAGGAGGCTGAAATTTTGGATATATTTATCTGCCCTGTGTGTCGTCCTCCTATTTTATGATCTTCCCCCACACGCGCCTAGACCCCGCGTACGGATCCTCCAATGAAATATGCAAATTCCTTTAGCGGGAAACGACTTCGCGAACCAGGCAACAAATATCTTTGAATTGCCCTAAGTCGCGCAGCAAGTGCACTCATTTTAGGTATACGATTTCCAATAAGGGCAACAAACACGCTGAAAAAATTTCAGCCACTGCTTTATGGCAAGTTATCGAGTTAGCACAGTACCAAGTTGGAAACTTTGACGCGATCGTATGCGCTTCACAAGCGCGCGCGACAACTGAATTTGAAACCTCTAGCTCGCACATGCACAGAGAATACCTTGCAACGTTTCAGCTTACCGAATATGACGCGAAGCTGAAAATTCGCTGAATATCCTACTTTCAAGTGCAGTCTTAGTTCTGCTTGGAAGTGAAGTTCTCTGCAGGTGGACACGAGAAACAATCAGCTTCAGCAAAAAATCAGAAACAAGTGTGTTTTGCAGCTAACGACCGCAATCATCCAAATATATAAATGA